GAAGATTTAGTAACTGTTAGTTGTATACTGACAGCTCTAGATGATTTTGCGAGGTAAAAAAACAATAGCTCAGTGTTAGTGGAAAAACTGGATCACACATTCATCATGCAAGACCATCATGTCCTCATGACCTACTTACCTCTCCTTTCATCTAGCTGCATCTGCATCCTCCTTAACTCCTGCATGGTCAAGAGGTAGCTTGCTTTTTTCAGCAAGCCAACAAAGAGAAAGCTAAATATTACACTGTAGCCTTTCCTGCAGTAAGTACGCAGTAGGTATTTCTGCACTATCTAGATATTTCTTTTACTACTTCTTGAGTCCACTGCCTCTCTGTCAAATTTGGCTGATTGAAGCTTGCCAGTATTAAGAGCATGATGAGACATGAGTGGGCAGTTGGCATAATTGTGTATGTTGTTTCTTTTGAAAATAGAGGGGCAGTTCAGTCTGTGAATCTTTGAGCAATAGGAATGGGATATCTCAGCTGGAATATTTGCTGCTGCTGACTTGCTTTGAGTTTTGACAATTAGCAACTTTGCTAGTTACAGGAATTATATAGAAATATGTGTATTCTTTTATATCTGGGTAGGATTCTTCACTTCATTAGACTAAGAAAAAAGTGCCTAAAGAACTGTAAAAAGCCTTGGAACATTTTGTGGAAGTCTTCAGTCTTACCTTTCTTGAAACTCTTTGGTTGGAGTTTTCAAATGACACTGGAAGTTTACCTGAGAGGAAGCCTATTCCTGATCTAATGCCTGACCTTTTCCCATCTAGAATTAATGGTAGTTTCTTTTACTGATAATATAGTAGTAGAAATTTTGAAACATTACTACACTGAAACAATGAATTATCAGAGGTTCAACCTTTTGGGAAGCTGTGTCTGATTTTATTTTTTAATTCTGCTGTTGATAATATTTGTCTTAAAATTTTCATATGTATCAATGTCTCAATGTCTTTTATTTTGCATAAGAAACAGGCATTGTTTTAGCTCTGTGATGATATACCTGGCATTTGTTTGAGTGGGTTATTGCATTTTTGTTATACCCAACTGACTTTTACTAAAATCCACCTTTTTATAGAGAGTTGTGTCTACAAAGGTTCTTAGTGTTGCTTATGAGATCAGAGCTGGTTCAAATTCTGTCAAGTCAACTTGTTGGTATAGAGAATTTGGAAAAAATGTCTGGGAACCACATCTTTATAGTATTTCATACACAACTCTTCGTGTCAAATACATAGAATACTATTACTCTGTATGTGCTAGGAAATGTAAATGCTAGGAAATGGTTTTGCTAATCTAATTTGGCTTTAACTGGGTTTATTCCTTAAATATTGTTGCCTAACTGTAGATACCAGGTTGTGGAGGTTAGATGTTAAAAGGGCAATGATTTATCTTAATAGGGTAAAATCCTTCATTAAATCTCTAGTGCTGGCTGTTGTATCTGAGGGCAGATCCAGGAGGAAATTATTCTTTGCTCAGATAGTCTAAATGGATTAGATTCTTTATCTAGACTCTTTTGTGATCTTCTGCTGGTGGTGGCTACTGTAGGTATACACAGCAAGTCCAAAACAGTTTTTGTAATGAGCCCAAAATAATTGTTTTGTAGAAATAGGGAGGGTCGATTAAACAGTGTTCCATGTGTAAATGCAGTTCTTTACTCACTGGTGCTATAGCCAAAGAAAGAGTATTACAATAGATTGGCCTGCCATTTTGCTTATAGCAAAGGCACCATTTCACCTAGTGTTTTCTGTGCCAGAGGGTTACTAAGCTTTCAAAGTACTGGCTTGATGATGACTTTTGATATATCCATTCTATGTTTATATGTGAAAGTAAATTTGCCATTACATGGTTATGTTAACTCAAAACTGGTTAAGATTTGCATATTCTGCTGTAAAAGGAACTGAGTATTTGGAGACAAATGTTCTTTCTGTTCTGGAAATTGAAGCATCTGCCAAGAAGTTCTGGTGAAAAGCTACTTTTAACCAAATATTTCCTCATATTTTCACTGGAGCATCTGTTTGCTTTGAGTTTTGGCCAGGTTTGTTTCACAAGATAATGTAAGGCTGTTACCTACCAAACATCTACAGGTTTGAAACCATACATGGGCAGAACAGATTTGTGTTCTTTAGTTCTTCATCAGTGCTGAAGCAAAAATGCTTCATCACAATCTTACTGTGGAATAACTGTGAACTTAAGTGCTGATCTTACTGAATAAATCTCAACTTCTGTGACTTTTTTTCCTCTATATATTTCTGCTATCTTATTTTTTCACCAGATTATTCAGAATTTCTTTCTGTATAATGCAGAGATCCATGTTTTCTGTTGCCAGAGTATAATTTTGTAAATTATCTCTTCTTTGGTTTTACAGGAAGATGATTAAAAGAAGTTTGAGTTCTCAACAATTTTTAACTGTCACAATATTATGCCTAGCATGTACAGACCTTGTCACTGCTATTTTGATTTCTCTATTTTTTTTTCTCTGAAGTTCTCAATTTGTTATGAACTTTTATGAAATTTTAATTGTATTTGGATTTTCTCCCATCTCATTTTACATGCTGTTCCTAAAAATGTCATCTGTATGTGACAGGAATAAGTTACCATCAGGTTATATTGCACTTTTCCATGGTACTGCTTGCCATGCAATCTTGAGGTAAAGGCAAGATGGTGTTTTCAGTTACCACCCCGTTATCAGAAGCTTCTACAAATGAAAAACAACATTTAGAGTAATTACAGTAAATACAGTAAGAATGCTGTATTGTGGTAGCTGCTTCTGTATGTCTACAGGAGATGCTCTGTAGTTGTCTTTGGGAAGAAACGTAGTAGTTTATCTGACGCTACAAACAGTTCGCATGCAGAGGTAGTCTTCATGTTGCGCTGTTTGCATAGAAATTTCTGATACCAGACATAGAATTATGGCATCGTTGAAAAGATGGTGAGTTCTCATTTAAACATGTTTTAAAAAAAATAAATATAAAAATAAATATTAAGAAGATGGAAGCTAGAATTCTGTAGAAAAGCAGGCAGGTGATTTTGATGAATAACTGAATTCTTAGTATTTTCTTTATCAGTATCAGCAGAAAGAGGCATATTTCATTGCTATATTATCATTCCTTTTTTGCATTCTCTTTTTCCTACCCAAAGCTGGATACTGTTAATCCTTGATCCTACCAAAGCAGCTCTATGTGGTATTACTGGGGTGATAGATTAAGGGCCAGAAGCGTTTAAGGAAGTTAGAGCAGGTTATCAGTGTAATCTCAGAAGTGTAGTTAAGATTTCAGTTATACCTGCACATGTGTGTATTTTGTCAGTGAATGAAATGGAGCATCTGAGGAAGTAGTCCTAAATTCAAATTTGAATTCCGGGTGCTGGAAACTTTTCAGAACACTGCATGTCTCTGTAACTTTGAACTTGGATTCTGACATTGTCTTAAGATGGCGAGAAACAGCTATGACAATCCAAATGATGGAAGTTTTATTTTCTTATGTTTGGACTTCAAGGTCAAGGGAAAAAAAGGTCCAGTAAAGGTGATTTTTATATCTATTAAATAATACTTTCATAGCTACATAAATATGACAGAATAGCTACTTCATATTGTCAGTCTCAGGCTTTGGAACAGCAGTAGTGTGACAGCAGCCAGATGTAATCTTTCTGTACCCCAGACAGTTCTTGGATTATAACTTGGATTATACACTGTTTAAATTTGAGGAGGTTTGAGTGAACAATAATTGTGTCATTACTAACTCTTTCGTGTTTATTGCAACTACACCTTTTGCCTCTGATGTAAGATTTTTCTATGTGTTTATATTTGAATAGAAGTCTTCAGGCTACATTGTGCAAGTTTTTATATTGCACAAATATAAATTTGTCAGGTGAAATTCCACCTGACACTTTGAGTCTCCCTGCCCCAAATGTTATTAACATATTATATTATAATAAGTGACAATACACTTAAGTATTGCTTCCAAATCATGTAATGGAGAACTCTGATGTCTCTGAACTCCTTCAACACTATCAGGAACAGTTTCAGGGAAGAGGTAGAAACATCCTCATTTTAAAGTTGCTCTCTGTAAGTTACAGCTGTCCATCTCGGTCCTGCAGAGCCAGTCTTACCTGATCATAGCCCGTATTTTCCTCAGGTGTTTTAGTAAATATTGTGCAACTCTTTCCTAGTGTGTTGCATACTTACTTGTGTTTTCAAGTCAGTCATTTAAATAGATTGATTTGAAGTATTACTGCTTTTATTACTTAGCACCCATCTGAAAGGGGTAAATCTGTAGTTACCTGCATTGTGTTTTAAAGGCATTTGTGTTTCTCTGAGGCATTTTTGTGAGTAAATCTCAGTTCAAGACAGGAAACATAGCTGGGAATAGGTACTATTAGCCCAGGTGGTACAGCTTTTAAGAATAGTTTTCAAAGGTAATGGTGGAGGAGAGTTTATTTTTCTCCTGCTGAGCTTTCCCATATCATCTGGAGAGATTAGAGCAAGGGGGTGGAGCTATCTCTGTTGTAGCTGCTTTGATTCTGATTCCTACTTTCTCCTGCTTATCTTCATGATATTCATGAATATAACTGTTTATTAGCTGCCTCTCTGTGCCACTTATTTTGGTTGTGGGACTCTACCTAAAAATTTGGACTTCTGGGGAAAAATGTCAAAGGGTCAATAAAAAAATATTGATTTGAGTACTGTCAAATAATGAAAATTAAAGATGAGGTAGTTTTCTTCAGTGCTATTTGCTACCAATTCTTGTATGTTTGATCTATTTTCACTGCAGTTGCATTAGGATACCTTTTCTGTCTGACTTTACTTGTAGCATCTTTTCTTATTATATACATATAAATACATACTCAGGAAATACTGAGGTAATTCCCTTTTTTGCCTTTAAATATAAATCGCTTTGCATTACTCATGTCTCCATTTCCTCCTTGCAGTTAGGAGTGATGGATTAGAATTGGGCTGCAGCACAGACTGGGAAAATCTCCCAGCATCCTCTTCCCGCAGAGGCATCAGCTTCCAGCACTGACTGTAGCTGCTGCCACTCTAACTGACATTTCTTTTGAATTCGGCTATGGAGAGTGCCTGTGATGCCAGCTGCTGGCTCTTGAACTTTTGTCCTTCTATTCTTTTTGCTTGATAACTGGTTAATGAGACCTCATGGATATTGAGAAATAGAACAGAATCAGTTCTCTCTTTATGCTTTTCTTCTGTGGTGGTTTTTTTTTTTTTTTTTGGTTTGGGGTTTGTTTTGGTTTTTTTTTAATGCGTGTGCAGTGGAAAAAGAATAGAGTGAAAGAAGCACTTATGTTTGCATAAGGACTGTTTTTACATACCCGAAGTTAGCTGAATTAATCCTGTAAGTATATTATCTCTGTCTGCTTGTCCCTGAAATCATCAGTGTTGTGGTAGCCAGATTTATGGATTTTTATCTGTGAAAATTTACTTTGGCAGGTATGTTGGACACTTAAACTGCAGTAATTTCTTTTTTTTAGAATGATTTCTTTGAAGGGGAGGGAAAAAATATATATATTCACAATGGGTTTATTAAATAAATGTTTTTCCTCTGCACTTTGCAATGGTGAACAGTGCTTTTAGAGAGCAGAAGCTTCTCTGCAGATGTCAGTGCTTAATCAGCTTGCATGCTGTAGGATGTAGAGCACCGCAAGGTGTGTATTTTGGGATGCCATTCTTTAAAATGTGATAATTTAAGGACAGGATCAAACTTGCAGGATTTTTTCCTCCATTTATAGGGTATGTCGTCTTTTCATAGCTGTGCTGATTTAACCCTTTGAGCTTACATCATTTTGGACTTATAAGTAACTTATTTCATATGATGCAGTTTGGTGATTTCTAAGTACTACATGTTAAGTACAATACACTGTGCTTTTAGAGATTTTAGTAATTTAAGGTCTCCATTCTAGCCATAAGTTCACTGTGAAATATATTGCAGTAAATTGGTTTGAAGTTTAGCAAGAGTGTCTTACTAGGATCACACTGTTCTAATAGTCTCTCTGGATCTAAGCCAGTGTTTTTGTGACGCAGTGTTAGTCCCATAAACATCTGGCCTGATCCGATGTCCTGCTTGCTGCATGATTTATTTCTTGTTTTTTTTCCCTAGCAAGGTACATGGAATTTTTAGTCATTTTGTGTAAAAATGTCAGCCATCATTACTATTTATATATGCTAGCTTTTTCAGGAGGATCTTCTGCAACCTATATTCTTGCCAGCATTTAGACCTACTTTCTAAGGGAAATGATTAACATATGAAATGTTTGTTGGTTTTTGTTGTGTGTTTCTTGATGGTGGTGTGACCCTCTATTTATCTATATATCCATATTGTATATTAAGTTTTGGCAGTATTGCCTGGCATACTCAGGTGCTCATTTTTTTTTTGTGCAGTATTGCCTGTATTGACCTTATCTGGATTAATTTGTATAAATTAGTAGTCTGATCAGGAGTAGTCAAACATAGTAAATTCTCCATTTACTCACAGAGATCTTATGTTAAACCGTAGGTCTAAAAATACTGTTGAACCACGGAGTTCTGTTAATATCTGATGCTAACTTTTTCTAGTCCTGTGCATTTCCATTAATGTAAAGCAGAACAATGTAAAGCAGGTTTTTCTCTTGCCTGCAGACTGACAGTGCTTGGTTTGTTCTTTACCCTCTCTCTAACTGTGGTCACTTTTAAATACCTGTGATCTGATTGTTTTGCCAACTTTTGTTATGATTATGTATATTTTGCAGTGCTGCATCAAATTCATGCTGCGGTACCTTGATATGCTTGAATAGGATAATTTTACCATCATTTTGGTGATCAGATAAACTGTATTGAGCATATTCAGGCAGGTAAATAGTAACCTAGGTGGTTGTAATGTGTCTTGTTCCCACAATATGGCTGATTAATGGAAAATTTGTGTCTTGGTTGCTGTGCATGTGCAGTGCAGTTCACTGTTGGACTTAAAGAACTTGTCGTGGTTTAAACACAGTCAGACAGCTTGTTCACTCACTTCCCCCCCCTTCTTGCTCTCCCCCTACTCCCGGAGAGACAGAGAGGAGAATCGAAAAGAATGCAACTCCCACGGGTTGAGATAAGAAGAGTTTAGTAACTAAGGTATAACACAAAGCACTACTGCTACTACCAATAATAATAATGATAAAGGAAATAACAAGGGAAGAAAATACAACACCTCAGCACTAGCCGAACGATAACTCGTGCCCCCCCCCCAGCCTGACCAAGCACCGACCCATACCTCCTCCAACCCCACAGTCTCCCAGCCCTTCCGGCTAACTCCCAGTTACCTCCTGGGCATGATGTGCTGTGGTATGGAATACCTCTTTGGTCAGTTTGGGTCAGGTGTCCTGTCTCTGCTTCCTCCCGGCTTCCCCTCCTCCCTGGCAGAGCATGAGGCTCACAAAGTCCTTGGCCAAACGAAAACATCATTGTTATCAGCTCTGTTCCCAAGCCGAAAGTCAAAACACTGCACTGCACCAGCTACCAAGGAGAAAAATGACTGCTAGTGCTGAACCCAGGACATTATCCACCCCGTATTCCATACCATTCACGTCATGCTCAGGTCCCACATTTTCAATATACCATCACTCTTATCTAAGTGCATGGACCAGTAGCTATAAAGCTGCTGAGTCCATCTGGTCCATGATGCCAGGCTCCATCTCTTGTAACAGTCTTCCAGAACAGGAGAGACTGTGTGCAGTGTTCACACTTGTGAATAACCTGGGCAATAGTGTCCATTGCTAAGTCCACCCCTTGATCATGAGTCCTTCTCTATGTGGCATCTCTGCTCTGATGGCCTGAAGTGCCATGGGCCCATCAGGCTCAAAATAATTTACTGTCCCCTTAAGCAGTTTGTGCAGCTTGCTGCTGGGGACTCCATACAGCTGCCTTCCATCTCCGATGCTTCCAAAGCACTGGAGGGGCCCAGTGGACTAGATACTTTCCCATACTGTCCCACACGCCCTGCCACTCATGACTGTCCAGCCTTGGAGAAAACCTCTTGGTCCCCCTATATTGTCGTCTAACCCCAGACAAGACCCAAACCTGACTCTGCTTAACTTTTGAGATCAGACAAAATGGTGGTGGGTAGAACACAGTCTGTGTGTGTGCCAACATGCTGATCCCCATCACAATCAGCAGGCAGGTCCCAAGGATACCCAAAGGCCATTCAAAACCTTCAGAACTCTCAAACGATGCTGCTGTACTTGTCACTGGGGCTGGTGTAGCTGCTGTGCTTGCCGGCTCTCCCACCGCCAGCTTCTCTTTTCCTGAGTCCAGCTCTTCCTCCTCTGCCTTGCTGGGAAGTGCTGCGTGGTCTCCTGCATCCTCCTGGGGCTCCGCGGGCGGCTTCCGGGGAATGCTCTCGGGGTCGCGGGGCTCGGCTCCTCCGCGGGGCTCGGCCCCTCCGCCGCCTTCTCCCGCTGCTCGGCAGCCGCCTCCTTCCTCTCCTCGACCGCCCCGACCTCCTCCACCCGCAGCCGTCCCCTCGCGGCCTCCGGCCCCGCTCCCGCCGCCGCTTGGTCCCCGGGGCCGCTCTCCCGGGCCGCTTCAGCAGCCGCCGGTTCCCGGGGCCGCTCCCCCTTGGCTCCCCGCGGCCTCACGAAGACGGAGGCGAGGGCCAGGCCGGTGAAGAGCAGCCGGACGGCCAGGTACAAGTCCACGGCCACGTCCGTCCCGCCCTGCTGCTGGAGCCCCCCTGTATTACAAGCCATTGCCATAAAGCACAGTGAGACAAGAACCTTAGCCCAGGCCCCACACTTGATAAACACTAACACAGCAAATACCGGCTCTAAGTAAGTTACAACATTCTGAAGCTGTGAGATCAAGAGGAACAACTCTGAGAGCCAATAAATCAGCGTTGTGACGAGTGACTATTAATCTGGTCAGATCTGTCGTTATCTCAACCCTTCGTGCCCCACGTTGGGCCCCAAAAAGAATTGTCGTGGTTTAAACCCAGTCAGACAGCTTGTTCACTCACTTTCCCCCCCTTCTTGCTCTCCCCCTACTCCCGAAGGGACAGAGAGGAGAATCGAAAAGAATGCAACTCCCACGGATTGAGATAAGAACAGTTTAGTAACTAAGGTATAACACAAATCACTACTGCTACCACCAATGATAACAATGATAAAGGAAATAACAAGGGAAGAGAATACAACACCTCACCACCAGCCGACTGATAACTCGCCCACCAGCCCGACCAAGCTCTGACCGATATCTCCTCCAACCCCACAGTCTCCCAGCCCTTCCGGGTAACTCCCAGTTCCATCCTGGGCATGACATGCTGTGGTATGGAATACCTCTTTGGTCAGTTTGGGTCAGGTGTCCTGTCTCTGCTTCCTCCTGGCTTCCCCTCCTCCCTGGCAGAGCATGAGGCTCACAAAGTCCTTGGCCAAACGAAAACATCATTGTTATCAGCTCTGTTCCCAAGCCGAAAGTCAAAACACTGCACTGCACCAGCTACCAAGGAGGGGAAAAATGACTGCTACTGCTGAACCCAGGACAACTTGGCATCAGATAAACCTGCTGATGTTTCTCCTCACCTGACTTGCAATAAGTTGCTTATTGGCTTTCTCTGCCTCCTCAGTGGTGGACATAAAGTAAATATTCGGAAGCAAAACCTTTTGATTGCTTTCTTTTATTTGATATCTTTTGATATATTTTTATGAAGCAGCACTGTAGGTGCTGAGCTTCTTTCTGGTTAGAACAAAAGAGTCCTGTGCATGGCCCCAAAATTTGAGATACCAAGTAAGATTCACATGCGCAATGTAAGGTAAATAAACCTATTGGTTTCTTCACAGGTGGTGTTCCAAGAACTGAAAGTTTAAGCTCAGATGAGACTTTCAAGAAGGAGTTTTTGTTTGTATTTAGTGTGTTTGAGGCTGTTTCAATGCATTTCATTCATAAGACGGTATTACAAATGTTTTTAGTGCTGTTATCAGTAATTGCTAAAACAGTTTTCTCCTATAGCTAAAAATGTATCTGTGAAGTTTATAAAAGCTAAAATTAGAATTTGTTTTTGTCAAAGAGAGGGCAAACACCCCTCCTAACATGCCAGCAGTTCCCTGCCACCACAGCTTCTGTTCTGTGAGGAGCAGAGCTTTATCTGCCTTCTGTCTGCTTTCTCATTAGAGTAATTGTGTCTGGTAAGGTATAATAATTGGCCAGTTAAAATGCTCTCTTAGTGAAATTGTAGTAGTCTATGAAAAACTGTCAGTTTGAACTTTTACGACAACTCTAAGGTAGAACTAAAAACTGTAAAGTCATTATTAGTTCACATTCATGTAGATCATTTTAGTAATTGTTGATTTTCACAGTGGGAACTGACTCTTTTTTCCCTCAGTT